TTACTTTGTAATTTTCGTCTTTTTGGTTACTCAAACAAAAGTTGCATGGTATATATTCGGCGACGACAAAGAATTTTTTTTTTGACAAAATTCAAGGGACAAAAAAACTCATTGTAGAGAATATTACTAACCCACTCAACAGATGATGAAGATTTCTATGAACATTATATGAAAACTGGATTTTGTGAGATTTGTTTATTGAATGAATTGTTACAATTACCGAGTGTTTCAGACCGGTTATTAACTAGAATTTCGCTATCTGCGCTAACTGAGAACATAAAGTATTATATGTTAGATTGCTAATCTCAGCCAAAGAAATTGTGCAGAACAATATTCCACGTTCATACTACATTTCTATTCTTCTTTGTAAAAATAGATTATACAGGATTATTCACGCCAAAAAGTTCAAGACGCAACCACACTATTTAAAAAAAAAAGTAAAACACATATATCTGTTTTGTGTAACAACATTGACGTAGTGCCAGATACTGTCATGCCAAAACTGACATTTCGTTATTGTCGGTATTGGAGATGCCTTGACGAGCTCTTGTTTGGAATAGGTTTGTTTTTGGGTTTAACCTTGATGGTTTAAACCACAGGTTTAACCTAACAGTTGACGTTTATTTCGAAATTAGCAAATTCAAACAGCTGACAATGGGTGGTATGATTAAAAGAAGCATTTGCTTTTACTTCAAGTAGATGCTTCAAGGCCGAAGCATATGCTTAAGCATAAGCTACAAAAAGTAGCATTTACTTCCCCTTTTATTTGAGCAAATGCTAAAATATAAACTAAAAATGTTTACTACACTGATAATTTTTTAGAATATCGCGTGGAGACAAAAGGTGCAGTGTTATCGTCTGTTCAAAAGACAGAAATATTTGTAAGGAATCTTGGTGATCCCAGATTTCAAGTTGGAGTAGGGACAACTATTGTTATTCATCAAACCACAGTATCTAAAGTGGTCAAAGAAATGTCAACAAAAATTGCCGAGAAAAAAAAATCTGTGGATGTCGTTCCCTCAAACACTAAACGAACTAGAGGTTGTTAAGAATGAATGGCACATACCTGGTGCGATAGGGGCATTAGAATGTACTCACATAAAAATTTTACAACCTCACGATCACGGATCCGAATATTTGAACAGAAAAGGGTTTTGTTCTATTAATGTTCAAGCAACATGTAATTATGCGAGCATATTTACATCTGTAGACGCGTCGTAGAATAACCAGGGAACAATTTTGTTAGAGGATGAAGGATTGGCATAACACCGTGAGTGTTAGTTTCTTATAAAAATCCTCATAATGAAGTTGAGAGAATTTATGACAAACTGCATAACAGAGGCCATTTGAAAATAGAATGCCCATTTAGTCAATTAAAAAGACGATTTCCCGATGCTTCATTATACATTGTACGGATAAAAACTGAAACACTTATGTAATGGCAAGATTTATACTTCACAATGTTGCTAAATATCGATCCAGATGATTTTGATGTTATTGATGACAATAAACCACCGTGCTATGCACCACCTGCTAGTGAAGCGGTTTAGATACGAGGGCTAGGTCAGCCACGTAGGAACGCAATAACACAAGAGCTATTTCTTATTATACAGAGATATACATTTTAGAAAATATAGAAATACATAATTATTACTTAAAAAACAAAACAACTTACTCTAAATGAGACACATTAAAAAGTCCATGAACATCTCTTTTAGCTGGAGATGGTTCTTTTTTTGATAATATTTCTGCGATATATGTAAGTATACTTAATTGTTTTGTTATAATTGAATTATTAAGATTGTGATGTGCTTACCGGGTATTTTATTAAGAACTGGATTTTCTTTATTTTCTTCATCTGTTCTATTCGACATGTCAAAATTTTTTCTGCTAAGCTGTATGTATAATTTTTTTATTGCCGGTTCGTTTAACGTCCGTAAAATGTTTTTACTTTTGATTTCACGAAGTTGAGTTTCTTCATCACCTTCAAAATATTTTTTTATCGATTGCTAAGAGTATTGTTTAAGTGTTGAAGTGCGTATTGTGCATTGAGATCGGTATTTTTTAAATTTATTCATTTAACTGAATTACAAAAGATAAATAAAAATATGAGTGGCATCGGCATAAAATTATTTAATTATAAGAGAGGATGTTAGTGTACTTGGAAGAATGACTACAAAATAACTTACCTGCTTTGGGGTAATCTTTCTTTTTTCGTAGTTTTGTTCTAAGCCTCAGCTACATCAGTAGCATCCTTGTCTTTTCTCTTCTAATAGAACAACAAATGCCATTTGTTCATCTTGACCTTCATTCATCCACACTATCAGGTTCACTATCGCTCATTTTATCGAAAATTTTAATCGTCTCGCGTTGCAATTTTAATAGTAATAATTATATTTTTGACATTTGTCATGTCAAATCAAATGCTAGAGTAAATACAATCGTTTCCAAAAAATTGCAGGCAAGATGAGCAAATCAGGTTCCCATAACCGAAGCTTTTACTTGAAGTCAAAGCAAATGCAACTTTTGTTAATCATACTTTATTTACTTTGACTTAAAATAATAGTGTTGTAAATATCAAAGACTTCTGTGTAATGGTATTGTGGGTTGCCTTTTGATTTCTTTAGGCGAGAAGCTTGTCGTGAATTACCCTGTATTATTGGGACATATCCCTACATTTTCACAGGTGAAGCGATTGCAGACATTTTAAGAATCTGATTTTTTTTTTTTTAAGAAGGTCAAATGGAAATCCTAAGTTTTGTATAAAAAATATCTACAACAAAAACAAATGCAGCGATTTTTAAATACCTACGTAATTCAGCGTACCAAAACTATATTTTTTGTAGTCGGCAAAAACAGCACTAATGTGCGCCTCTTCAACGAGGTTCTGATTTGTTACTCAGTAGAATGACAACAAGTATTCAGCTAGACCATAAAAGCACCGTTGTAATATCAGAAAAGTACTAAGTATTAAATTAGTAAATATTTTGGAACCCACTCTAAATGACATGGTTTTTCCGGTATTCATTATTAGAAAAAGATCATCCAATGTAAAATTCCAACAGTGGATAATAATGATGTAAAATATTGTAATTTAACGCGTATAAGTCGTATAATTATAAGTGTATAACTGTCTTTGTTGTTTAATTGACAAGTGAAAAATAATAACATATTTTATTTTGCGCTTTCGTATATTTATAATTTACTTTCCGTTAACAGCCTTGTAATATTGCTAATAATTTCTGACATATAGTGAAATTAACGAAGTTATATAAAATATTATTACTCACAGTTCAGACTAATTCCCGTTTTTTATGCGGTTAAGAATAACTAACAAATTTTGTTATATCTCCAAAGGTAAAAAAATAGTCAACGTTCAAAACGGAATATACATATGCCTAAATTATTTTTTATAACGCCAATAAATTGAATAATTAAATGTGTCGTTGTAACGTAGGAATCCCAATAGATCGGTTGTGATAATTTCTAAATAAGATTATCAAATAACGTTAGTAGGACTTCGGCAACTTGCTTACGTGTGACAATGCCTACGTTAGGATTACACAAATCCTCTGTTTTCGTTTTTTTTTTGCATCCAAATACGTTCGTGTACACATTATATTTGAATGCAGTGAGATAGTCAGATTGATAATTCGATAATGCAATTTGTCTTTATGTCTTGAATGGGTAAAGAGAGCTATCAACATCAATTTCATCCCAGTTGCAGACAAGGGAATTATTTTAATATGTTACATTCTCATGTCTCCGTGAGAAGATTGGTTAGAATAATCAGCATAAGTAAAATAAACACATAAACCAACAAACTAAAAAAATTGCGTAAAGACTGATTTTATAGTTATATTTGTAATTGTAATTATGATACGAACACTGAAAATATATATTAATAAAATTTTATAGTTTAAGTCAAAGAGCCGAACCCGCAAATTTCTAAAACCATTAATTATCTTAGTACGATCTTTTGCTTGGGACAGCACAGGGCCATATTTGTAACTAACGAAACCTCGTGGGACGTTCGTCGCAACAGCTACTCGAAATTTCTGTAACAAACTCTGTTGTAAAAAATCAGACAACCTTATTATAATATATTTGATAAAATTAGTAACCCAACAATAAAGCAAATGATTTAGTAGTTTTGTCTGATATAGCAATTGACTAATTGTACACTTACAATATTTTGGCTGAATACAACTCTGGGACAGAATCCGTCTTTTTTGGGAATTCTGCAGGCACGTTGCACGGTTTACAATTTTACAAGGGTCCTAATGCGAAAAGCCGATTCGGCATTGTCGACCAAATACTTAATCGTAATTATGCTATAAAATTTACTTACCATGTATTTTTGGTTATCGTACTGTTTACACTCATCCTATGTATTGCCCATGAACGTCTTTGTATACACCTACATTCATGTTTGTTGGATATGCTGATCTATTGTAAAAATCAATAAGATTTTGATACTACACATTTAAAATTTAAAAAAATCTTATTTATTTTTTTACGGGAACTGATGTGGCATTTGCAGAGTTTAACTAGTGAAACATCAGCTTACAAAAATAAACAAATTGTATTTCAGCAAGAAGTCATTTGTACTTGGTGTTATAAATTATGTGAATTTATGTAGACTCTTATTTTGTTGACTAAGAAAGTATCACTAGTCACTAGCCATCATATCAGCCAAAATTAAACTTGAATTAATAAACTTAATATGTATATAAAAAATTGGCAAATTAATCCTTTTCTTTTTTCGAATTAATTTAAAGTAAAAATAATATTTAATTGCAAAAAACTTTTAAAAGAAAAAACGGTTTTAGTAAGTACTGCAATTTTCCTGATTTACCTGTTGTCGTTACTGCACTATCACTATTCAAATTATTTTTTTCGGTTGATTGTATATTTCTACGCATACTTACTTAACAAGTTCTATTTTTCTTTCAGTTGGTTTTAAGCATGTTGTGTAACAGTGAATACATATGTTTCAGTTCAACCTAACATGTCATTTGGATATCAACAGCCTTTTTTGGACAGTGGAAAAAATAGTCCGAGTCCACGTTATTTGTCACATTTTTTAACCTCTTTCGGGAGCAAAACTACATAATTGGGTAAGCTGTTTTATATGAAATACAATAAAGTTACCTTAGTGATTACTGAGTACTGATCAAAGGTACATCTAGACTTCGCTACAGTTAGGTAATTTATAACTTAAACAAGTTTAAATATTTTATTTGCAGTAACAAGATGCCGATATTTTGGGATTGGTTACTGACAATCTAAGGTGGACTAACGTCCTCGTCAGCCATGCTCATCAAGGAGTATCGTATTCCTCTGCCTCTTACGGTGGAGGAGTATCGAATTGCCCAGTTATATATGATCGCTGTAAGTAAGAAATGTGTGTGTGTGTACAATTTAAAATATTGTTAATGATATCAACTGACACAAAGGATTACTAGAAAAATTCTCAAAAGACTTTCCAGGGGGGAAAATTGGTCTAAGGTTATTTGAACAGAACTTCATATTACTAACATTACAACATATCTACTTTTTTCTAAAAATTACTACTATCATTACTATTATTACACTAAATAATTTAACGAACTGATAGAAGCATGATTTTTCGAATAAGGTCGTACTGTGTGCATTAGAACAATAAAAATATGTTTACCTCTGGTAATCATATCTAATAATCATATTGTTTAGTTTATTCTTACACAATTATTATTACTTTGTTCATGTTGTAGACAAAACCATTCTTTATCTATTTCACCAGTACCTCAAAAAATTGTATGAGCCTCTTTTGCCAACGGGTACTGCCATATTGCTTCACCACACTCACAATCGCAAATTTATCATAATACAAAGTTGTATTTGTCTCGTTACTTGATTTCACTATCATACTATACTGAGACTGAATCGGGTGAAGTTCCAGTGATGAAGACGTATAATTTTAAAAATATTTTAAATTTTGTCGATATTTTAGGATTATCGTGTACGTGACAAAACGCTTTGTTTTTCTGATTTATTTTAATGAATTGCATGCAATTTGTTAGAATACAATACACGTATTTTTTTTACTGTTCACAGATGCCATTTTTGACTACTTTTATCAGAATTTTAGACTGTCAATTAATGTTGAACATTGAAACATGTTAAAATTACGAACTTAATTCTTCAACTTTGAAGTTTGATGTTTTAAAAATTTCGGTTCAAGTATTTCTTTATCCATTTTTTTTTTTAGTTATTCAGAACCTTCATAATAACGTACCATTGCGCTTATCCGTCATTTATTTTTAAGTCCAGTTGTGTAAAAAACTATTTGCGTAACTCAATCGCGAAACGTCATGCCACTTTGGAACGATCTTTGAACTCGGCTACGCCTCGCCCATTGCTGTATTGATGATGAGAAAACCACTCTAGACAATGGTTAAAACTGATGTGAAAAAAATCGGCAATGTATCTCTTGATTCGATTTAGTCTTACATACATCTCTTAAGCGAATTAAATAAAACATGATAAGCTATTACGATTCAGGTAAGCATATGATCATGCCCCTTGGAATTTGTATCGGGGATCGAGTTCAGGGCGGATAGTTTAAGAATGACTAATTTCATTTTAATTTTTTAATTAATCGGACCATAACATCGCAATTGGTTTATATCTTGTAAAAAAATATATTTGTTTATTAAGAAATGTTAATATTTCGATGAGTTTTAATCAAAAGTTTGAAGATATAATATTCAGGTTTCTTTTCACTGTTTTTGCTTATCGGCCAAATTGACCTCAACTGATTGATCAAATTGTTGTAAAACTAGTTACTATTTGCTTAGGGAAAAAACCTCTAAAAATTCGTGTTTTTAAGGCGATAACGATAAAATCATTAAATAAAAATGATTAGATAAATTTATTACATTTGCGTAAATTGCATAGATACAAACTAGGGAATATTTGTTTTAAAAATATCATCAGGCTGACTGTTGTTGACTATTATTAAGAATTAAGTTTTGAGCAAGAAATAAAATTCTGTAGGTTTCAACTTCATGAGGTAAAATATGTATTGTAAGTTAATAACGAAGAACTATTTATTGTCAATTTGAACTAATTTTAAAACAAATGTTTAGAGTAGTATCAATTCAATACTTAGATTAATTACTATAATATTTAGAAAAAAAGTCGTGAAGAGAGTAGCGGAGCTGGAAGCGGCGTTGAAATTTTAGTAAACGAACCTTACAAAGATGGGCCTGGCGGACAAGGACAGTACACACACAAAATTTATCATGTAGGCAGTCATTTACCAGGCAAGTGTGATGGATAGAAATAATTTAATACACGATTTAAAATTTAAGAACATAGTAATCGTAATGTATTTTTAGGATGGCTGAAAGGAATTCTTCCAAAAACAGCACTTATGGTTGAAGAGGAAGCCTGGAATGCTTATCCCTATACCAAAACAAGATATACTTGCCCTTTTGTTGAAAAATTTTCTTTAGAAATTGAAACTTATTACTATGAAGATAATGGGCATCAAGAAAATGTATTTCATTTAACAGGTGGTGATCTCAGGAATAGAATTGTGGATGTGATAAATGTTGTTAAGGATCAATTGTACGGTGCTGATTATTTAAAAAGTGAAGATCCGTCTTTTTACAAGTCGGAAAAATCGGGTAGAGGACCGTTGACTGAAAATTGGTTAGAAGATTATTGGAGAGAAGTGCAAGGAAAGCCCCAACCATTACCCAATGGAAAAGCTTTAATGTGCGCTTATAAATTATGTAAGGTGGAATTTAGATATTGGGGCATGCAAACAAAAATAGAAAAATTTATCCATGATATAGGTAAATATGTCGCATTAATATTTTTATTAAACTAATGTTGTTATACAGCTCTTCGCAAAACAATGCTTAGAGCGCATAGACAAGCGTGGGCATGGCAAGATGAATGGCATGGTCTAACTATGGAGGATATACGAGAAATTGAAAAACAAACTCAGCTTGCATTAAAAAGAAAAATGGGACAGAATGAGGATGAGGAAATTGGTGAGAAATCATTTTATACTATTCATGTAAATAACGCTATTTAAATCTTCACACAAATTCGCAGTTTACATGAAAGAATTTTTTTGCTAATTAGTTTTATTGCATAGTGTTGTAACTCGACTTTTAACAAACATTCCCATACAGAATCCTTGAACGCTCTAATTTTAGCAAGTTCTCAAAATATTTATTCTTAATTGTTTGACTTGGTAGAGAAAATACACTGATGACTTTTTTATTTACTGATCTTTGCTGGAAAAGTGTTGTATATCAACAAGCTATTATTAACACGCCAAATCCGTGATGAATAATTTATAAACTGTTGTTTGCGTAATTTTTCATTAAATTTAATAAACTCTTTGAAACGAATAATAATTTACAGTTTTTACTGTTTACGAGTACCCATACTTCATTAATGGAAGTTCTTTCTTTATCCCTTAGATGAAGATGATAATTTAAATAATAGCACATCCAAGGAAGATCCTGTTAAAACTTTAGCAGCAACTCTTGGAAGTATAGAAGTTTCAGAAGACAGTCCTTTAATGACTAAAAATGTAAACATTCCTTCTATTCAGACCGCAATCAGTTCAGATCCTGACCTCTCGCCAGACGACGAAATAGCAGGATGTCACAAGTAAGTATGAACCCCAGTTGTATATTTTACATTCTTTTTCTAAATTTAAAGTTGTTTTTTCTACGCCCAAATTTCATTGTAATTACCAAAACACCTGGTAAATAAATGAATTACTAAAAAACTATTCAGTCGTCATGACTTTATATCAAAGTGAATAGCGTTTATGTGTCTGTTTTAATTTATAATTATTATTACTTTCAGATTTCAGTGCATAATTAAATCTATAAGTAATACGGCTTTTACAGTGCAATAAAAAATTCATAAACTTTTGCATTGTTTATGTTCTCTATTGGAGTTAAAGTTTGAATGATCACTTTTATAGTACGCCTGTCTTATCAAAAGAAGAAAAAGGTTAGAGCTATAAAATGTGTTCCAACAACAGCAAGAATCTCTCTTCATGAATCCGCTTTAAGCTACATAAAAAGACAGCTTTAATGGTTTCTGAATCAAACGCAATGATCCGTTTATAACATAAATATTGGTCCCACAAGAAATGTAACAGTTATTTTCACATGCGCTATTTTTTTAAATACACGTTGGTTGAATGTCTACGTTTAGAGAAGAATACAGAGCACGGAGATTTAATTAAAACTCAGCCGCTTCCGATAAACTTCTATGCATTCCCTTGGACTAGTGTCTGATCAATATATAAGTACCTACTAATCTGTTATTCTGATTTTACCAAAAATACCTCAGCACAAGTCACCATAAGTGGACGCAGTTGAGAATAAACCTACTTTCAGGGCCACTCATAGAGTTTCATGTCTAAAGGAAGTTTTCTTAATTTAGTTTTAAATTTACAGTTGCATCAAATGAACCTAAAAATAATTTATAAAAGCTATCGTGAATAAAAACAAAATAACTAAACTTTGCAAACTCTTCATAAACGAATAGTACATATCTTTGAAGCAATTAATGTCAATGGTTGAAATTCAGGGAGTGCTTCCTAGTTGAAATCAACATCTTTTCTCTGTCGGTTTCTTCTTCTAACATTGTCATGAGATTCAAATATTACTTGCATTGGATGTCGTTATATATTGAAATTTGGTTCTTGGTTCTGCACGTTATGTGTGTACTGTCATTCTCTGAGTTATCAATTATTTCTTACGTTATATTTTAGTTGAGTTTTTTTTTTAGAAACTTCCTTCATGTGTCTATTTTTAATTTCAGACGTGAAGACAAATGGCAACAACCTCGTGGATTACACTCTCCAAGCTCATCTTCTATAAAAAGTTTTGATTTACAAGTTGCGAATTGGAGAATAGAAAGTCTAGGCAGAGATTCAGAGTCGGGATCCGATGAAGAATTTTTCGATTGTGAAGGTATGTTACAATACAGGTAGTTTTTTTATACATCACTCGATAACTTTAGATTCTTCATCTCTGGCAAAGTGGAGTTCTTTGGACCTTTTAACAGAAGAAGATAACGATACTACCTCACCGACTGTTGTTATTGATAAAAATGGTAAGTGGCAGTTTTGAACGTAATATCCTGTACTTAATCGAAATAATTTTTATTAGACGACAGCATATTTTCTCCTACATTCCTACAAAGAGTGGCCAGCGAACGGAGCAGCCGGAAATTAGTGCAAAGAGGAAAAGTAAATTCCTTGGATGCATCATGTCCGGAATCTCCTAGTGCATCTCCTGCGCATTTGTCATGTAATACTACAGTATTACTTTTGGTGCTTCACGCAGGAAGCGTTTTAGACGCCAACATTGATGTAGCTGCAAAGAAATCTGACGTCACTACTTTACGAGGAGCATTCGAATCGGTTATACGTCAACATTATCCCTCGCTATTAGGTCATATTGCAATAAGATTGGTGTCTTGCCCGTCTATTTGTACAGAAAGCCTTGCAATTTTATCTAGGTAATCTGTAGCTTTAATCAACAATTTAACAACTCAACTCATATTTTCTTAATATTTTAGCCTTAGCCCGTATAGTTTTGATGTTTCGCCTTCTTGCATAGATGTACCTCAAATCACGCATGACTCTATACCAATTGGTGCTATTCCAATTCTAGCGACTTCAACATCTGACTATCAAGAAATTGTGTCACGGACAATCACTGCAGTAAACGCAACTTATCAGGGTATTTGGATCTATTAAACTTTGATCAATTAATATTTACGTTAAAAAATATGTAGAATTTTTGAAGTCAGAAGACGGTCAAGGCTTTACTGGACAAGTATCCATTGTTGCTGATTCTATAGGTTCAATTTTAGCCTATGACGCGCTCTGTAGAAGTACCAAATATCAGTCCAGACATGGCAGTGAAAATAGTATTTTAGACAATGATAATGGCCAAAAAGGTAAAATGGTGTAGAAGTAAAAAATATAATATACATTAAATTTGGTAATGTTTCTGTGTTTATGAATTAGATGAGGTGCAAGTAAATGAGACAGGATATTTGACAGCTCCTTCTCCTCGCAGACGATCGTCTTCAACAAGTGAACAATCTAATCAAATGAAATTCGAATTTGACGTCACAGATTTTTTTATGTTTGGTAGTCCGTTAGCATTAGTTTTAGCATACAGAAAGGTAGCGGCCATTGACGAGAAGTCGTGTAAGTGGCATATTTACAAATAAATCTTTGTAACTTTAATGATACATTTTAGATGTTATAACCCGTCCAAATTGTCTTCAAGTTTACAATTTGTTCCATCCCACAGATCCTGTAGCGGCACGTTTAGAACCACTTTTATCGGCAAGATTTTCAATACTGCCACCAGTTAATATAGCTAGATATGCTAAGTATCCCTTAGGAAACGGACAACCGTATCATTTATGTAAGTTTTTCATATATTGAGAGATTTTGTAATAGACACAAACAATTTATTTATTGCTACTTTTGAAACATTGAGAAGTTATTCTCAACTGATCAGTTAAATTACTTCAAAATTATTCCCTGCGCAAAAAAGTGGGAGACTATAAAATTCAGCAGTGGTACTAATAAAATTGCTGAGTTTTTAACTATTTTTGCTGAGATTATTGCTTCCAGAGTATATTAATATTAACAGTTTTTCTAGCAGTGTTTAATAAATGCAGATGTGGGGTCAAGAAAAGTTGAAAAAATTGATTTTGAACAGTCTAATTTTCATGTTGCCTTTATTTGATTGAACAACGCAATAAATAAGAATAAACTGCAAATACATTTCAAAATTTTGACGAAGTATTTAAATTAATTAATTTAATTATGAGAAAGATTCTATACTATATCAAAGCCTATTATAAGAAGTTATATTTATTGTAATAGTAATAATTCTTCAATAAAAAACCATTTTTTTCTTTATTTAAAAAAACATTTTTTTTAGAAAGCGAACACTTAATCTGGGACCTTTTTTTTAATAGAAAACTTAATTTGGGACAGAAGGAATATTAATTACCGAAGAAGAATTCCTCGGAAAATAAAACTCATTATAGCATTTCGGCCGAAGGTTTCAATCTAAAACTGTGCTACTGCAGATAGCTTTATTGAAGTAATTTAATTAATTGGTTAGATCCAACACCTTACATATAATAACGAGGGTTTAACAATGCATGTAGTATGTATGTATGTAGGACTTTAGGAATATTTAATTTCGACAGTTTTTGAAAATAGTTTCATGAGGGATCAGGTCTCTCTAATTCTTCAACGAGTTGTACTTTGTCCTTGCTATCTTTTCTTCTTCCAACTAAATAAGTTTTAACGTTTTCATTCACATTAACATATTTTCTTGATCCTTCTAGTGGAAATTCTTCAAACTAATCCCCAAATGTTTAGTGATACTTCCCAACATAGACGATTATCTGAAGTTTCTATTCAGAGTACAGTTTCAGGACTAATTGATAATATTCCTCTGCAAGCTGTTAATGCTTGTAAGTATACGAATAAGTACATGTTGCATGTCTGACTGTGTATATAAGTTCGTTTAGCAGTCCATTAATATATAAACATTTTTTGTATTTTTTGATATTTGTTAGTAAGTAGTTGCTAGTCTTTTATTTAACTATTTATACAGAATATCAAACGAAGCGAACATTAATAACACAAATAAAAAAAACTTAGATGAATTTACTTCTTGAAAAAAAAAAGTAAACTCTCAAACATGTTTTATTGTAAGAAAGGATTCATTGATACGTGATAGGTTATACCATCACATAAATGATAATAATATTTTAAAGGCCCGACAAATATCGCACAATTATTTGAACTACAAATCTTATGTACATATCTGATTTGAATACACTTATAAAAAATATGTATGTACTTTACCTAACTCAGTTATTTATTTGGTGTAAAAATGTAATTGGAATATGTAAGTATGCATTTATAACAGTGACGTGAATTTTTAGTGCAACAAAAATGGTGGGGTGGGAAAAGAATGGATTATGCTCTGTATTGTCCAGAAGGTTTATCTAACTTTCCTACAAATGCATTACCACATCTATTTCATGCCAGTTATTGGGAAAGTTGTGATGTGATCGCTTTCATCCTGCGACAAGTAGGTGGAATTGAAGCGGCACCGTTATCAGGCGTTGAGGATAGGGAATTGTGTTTCAAACCTGGCCAACCTAGAGAAAAATGGATTAAAAAGAGAACGTCTGTTAAAGTTAAGGTAAGTGACACATTAAAGTGTAAATTTTTGATCGAATTCCTTGCTTGAAAACATAATTTTCTTAAACATTTGAAGAAGTTACAGACTACTCTTAATTTAACAATTATTATGTAATCTTTGGAATTATGCCAGTTTGTCTAAAGTCTGCTTTGTTAACATTTTTCTGCTACTAAATATGTATGAATTTATTGTAAATCGGGCGGCGAAATATTGGTACCGTTTAACATATGTGATCATTCCATATCGTGAAATATGGAACTAACTTCTTTGTACATTACAATAATTTGATAATATCAATAGTTATACGTAGACAAAAATCTTGTTTCATTTTTATACGTATAAACTAAAAAAATTGCTATAACTGCCCTTGTTCATCACCCACGTTAAGTAATTGATTATAAGTTAAACTTTAGTAAAAAAAAAAGTTTTATGAAATTATCTTGGCAACAATGATGTTGCACATACTGATCAGGCAGTGGAAATTAAAGTAGAACCTAGAAGGAAGGCTATTATGACGAATGTGTTGTTATTAATTTATTTCACTTTGTACATAAAAATCACGTTTTTTCTAGTTTCTTATACATTGTTATAAAATTTATAATCTTACGTATGGTCGAAAAGTTTTTTTTTTCGTGTTATTTCTAGTCAGCGACAACACAATTCAGACATTGTTTAAGACGTGAAAATGGGATAATAACAATATAACAAAAAATTGTTTTCGCCCAGTACGAAATAGAGATCTGTAGAACAGTTCGACAACAGGACAACGTCTCTTTAGTCTGTACTTTCCTCGATTGCTAAAATTGGCTAAAAATTAAAAATGACAACATTTTTCAGTTTTTTTAATACAACATAGTATGATTATATTAATGACTAATCATTACTCCTATATGATTACTTTGCTGTTTACATGTTTCACTTTTCTGTTGCTTTTATCCGTAACTGATACAATCTGGCACCAGGCAAAAGTCACATTTGACTCATTTTTGTCGGTTAGAATCATTTTTTTGTTTATATAAGGAAGTAGTCGGTGCCGTTGTTAAAATATCATTGACCATAATTAACAGGAGTACATACTAAACAAAGTTTAACCATTCTCAAACATAATTTGATGTACTGTCAACATTTCATAGCAATGAATGTAGACTAAAAATATCAAGTCAGGTGCTTCAGTAGAGAAGAACAAAATTAGATATTTGTTTAATGGCAAACAAGACGAGGAGAACATGAAAAGCGGGGAAAACACACCTGGGAATTGAGACACGAGGAGATGATTATAAGTATATTGGTAACTTGGAAAAACAAGCTAAGCATCTTGAAACGAAAATTAAGAAGATTCTTCTGCAGTGTTTCTTCATGGTAATTCCAGTGTTATAAAAGATTTTCCCCCTTTGATGCATTCGCTGGCCATGGTGCCGAATTATTACACTATTTCGTCAAGAGTTCTCTGTTAATGGTATTTTCGAAAGTACAGCAGCGAGGTGAGGTGAGGAATAGCGAGTCGCGTGTTGAACTCGAGTAAAAGAAATAGACCTACACAGGTGGTTAACTACGCTCAGCATGGAGGAAGGGATTTATAGGGTTAATTATTGAGAACTAAGAGCTGCGTAGTAATAAAACTGACTATGCTTTAAAGTTTCTGCTATTACTGAAGACCGCCACGTAAACGTCCATTGTAATGATATCATTCTCGCAACCCTTTTTCCTCCAACGTTTTTTTTTTTTTTTTTATTATTATTTGAAATGAAGTTTATGTCGAATTTGTTTTCATTTTTATTTTTGTTCTTAGAATGTGACGGCCAATCATCGAGCAAATGATATAATTGTCCGAGAAGGTGCACCTCAACTTTTAATGGCAAGATTTATGTATGGTCCATTAGATATGGTTGCTTTAACTGGCGAAAAAGTAGATATTCATGTAATGAGAGATGTGAATATTGGAGAATGGGTACAGATTGCTACAGAAGTGACTGATAAGGCGGGTAGAATAACACATACAATTCCAGACGAAAAATCATTGGGGTACGGTTTATATCCGATAAAGGTACGGTGATTTTATAAAAATGTAACAACAGAGGCAACAGGTGGTTGTACTTATTTATTTATTTTTTTAGATGGTTGTAAGAGGCGATCACACATCTGTTGATTTCTTTATGGCAGTAGTTCCTCCTAAAACTGAATGTATAGTATTTAGTATTGATGGTTCCTTTACTGCTAGCATGTCAGTTACTGGGAGAGATCCCAAAGTTAGGGCAGGTGCAGTTGATGTTGTAAGGTAACATTACCAAAATTATAGTTTGTAGACATTTACGACTCCTGTTTAGATAACATAGGTTTTCAAGTGATGCCACGGTCATCGTGTTTAGTTGACTGTCACATATACTGCTTTTTACTAGTAAGAGTCTAGATTTGTTGCATACCTGTTTAACATTAAGATTATGGGATCACCTGGAAATCTTGTATCATTATGCTTATATTAATTATTTTAAATAATTATTGAAGGCATTGGCAAGAGCTGGGATATCTCATCGTGTACATAACTGGAAGACCTGACATGCAGCACCGGCGAGTTGTTTCTTGGCTATCGCAACATAATTTCCCCCATGGACTTGTGTCATTCGCAGATGGTCTTTCTACAGATCCTCTGGGACATAAAGCCGCTTACTTACATAACTTAATCCAAGTAGTGTAGACAATAACAAGTTTCGAATATTTAATCTGAGATAATATTTATTTTAGAATCACGGTGTAATAATTCATTCCGCATATGGTAGCAGTAAAGACATAAGTGTATATACCTCAGTTGGACTAAAACCAAAACAAATATTCATCGTAGGAAAAGCGTCAAAAAAACAACATGCTCAAGCTACAATACTAATTGATGGTTACGCTGCTCATCTTACAAATTTGATGGCCCACGGTGGATCGAGGCCTGCTCAAGGAAATGCCCGTATGGTTATACCACGGGGATATTTTGGTTTGCCGGGTCAAAGTTTTTCAAGGAGAAGAAGGTATGACCGATTTTTGAGAACATGTTTGCTCGTATAATTCAAGTGGGTTGCATTTTCTTTCTATTAATCGAATGGTAGGTGGTAGTTTAATATGCATGTAGTGGTGTCACTGTTTCAGCCACGACACGGGCATCTCATCTCCTGCGCGCAACAGTGGCTTTCTGAAGCGCAAAGTTTACATTAGTCATGTCTAACATTGACGATAGTTACTTAGGATATGGTAATTATTTTCATAACTTTGCACTAACTAGTAGATATTTTCGCACAAAAAAGTTTTGTAAATGCTGCAGTTAAATGAGAATTTCTTTAAAATATTAATATATAAATATTTAAACTAAAATACTTGGCTCATTCACTAACTACACAATAAAATATTTGGTAATTTGACTTAACTAAATAATGCTTCTTAAAAAAAAAACAACACGCTTGTATATGTGCTTTGCATGCAAACTGTGGACTTCATGAAATCTGAAATTTAGCAATAATTACTCTGAATGACCGTTGTATTTATTTAGCACATCCATTTTTAAAAGCTTTGCTTATTTTATTTTTATAATTTATGATTTTTTTTAAGTCCAAGAGATTGCTTTGACTTACGAATGTAGGAATTTTTTAACCGTATGTTGACTAGTTAGCTACCATGTTATACTAAACGTTTTAATGGAAATAATTTTATGGAGTCCACAGTTTAATCATAGCTAAATATTGTTTCAGTTATTTCGTTCATTGAGTCTTCTAGAACTGTAGTTTCTAATTTTAGCTGCAAGAATGATTTTTTTTGGTTTAAATATTAAACAATATTTAGTTGTATAATCAAACTGAGCTTAACGAGTACTGCCTGCTGCTTCAGATGTCTAACAAGTAATTATTCAAAATATCTTCACTTTATGAAACATCAGACGCGCAAGGATTTGCCTAATGATGGGGAGCATGAATTTAATTATAATCACAAAAACCAAAGCTATTGCCAAATTGGAGGAAGAACAATTCGTGTAAATGTAAATTTAAGCGAATTAATTAATTATTAATTAACGTCACTTTGTCGTCCTGCATAGTCAATTTATAGAAATTAATGATATTGATCTCATATGGACATCATAACGTAACGGTGTACGGTGTATTGTGTAGGTATATCACGAAATGATGACTTGAGCGGTTTTATCACATAATGAGTGTCATTATGATGCCACATCCTAAGGTAACGGTCCTAACTTCTACTAAAGTAGAAAAATATATGGAAATTTTAATTTATAATTTTTAAATAAAAGGGTGTATTCGACATTGTTACGATAAGCGTATTTGTTTAATTTAAACAGTGGCACAAAAAAAATAATTTTTATGAATTGCGACTATTTTTTGAGAAAGAACATAAACAATGTGTAGTATATTTCCGATCCAGAAAACATTAAGTAAAGCAGTTGAATAATATGTAAATTGTTCAAGGGTCGCAAATACATCACTTTAACACATCACATTAATCCTAAAACACAGTGAACAAAAGAGGTCTGTATATGAGTTGTTTTTTTTTTTTTCGTTTAAACACAAAGACAACTTACCTAACTGAAAATACATGTTTTATTTGTATTATATTTTTTCATAATAATATAAAAGTGACATTTACAGACTGCACCTGAATATATCTCTCATGTGTGAAAGAGCATGTGCTCGTTTTTAAACATTGATGGAATGGTTTTTGTTCATTAGATTTATTTGGGGATATTGGATAGGCAGGTTACTCAATTGGATCATTTTGCGAGGTATCGAGCACATGTTGTATAAGTGTCATTAAAATTACCTTTAAAATTAGTGATGTCAGGAAAATTCAGATGTGGCTTCTTCTGTAATTGTTAAGAGGCGTTATTAAAATAATAATAATAATATTAAAGTGTTTCCCATTACGTGAGCTTTAAACGACCGATTTCGCTGCTGCTATATACAACCTTCTTAGAAAGACATCACTATAAATATCAAAATCGGTGTATTTATGCCCACCAACAGGTTGAGTAGACTCCGAATTATTTGAGAACAGCGTAGGTGATTCATCACCAGTAAGCGGACTTCTGTCGGGCTACGTCACGATTATAGGTGGGAACGCGTGGATGGCCGGGAATCAGTAGCGGGCGATAATCAGCGAATTTAATCTAACTTATTTCCATAAATAAAATTAGCAAAACGGCTAATGAATATTGAAATTTGCAATTTGAAAGTGGGCTCGACTGGTCGTGTTTTTCTCTTCTGCGCATTGTGACCGATGCTATTTTCAAATAATTTGAACTTTCATGAAGAACAAACAAATTTTAGTTAACAATTCACTCACCATCGACGCCATAATTTGAACATACAATCTGTAAAACATGATCGTAAATTATCGTCATAATGATGCGATTACAATATTTCCTAAAGTTGTGTCATTGATCTTTGATAACCTAAGACAGTTTATGGATTCAACGGACATCATATTTCTCGTTATTCTATACAGGTTCGACATACCGTTCTATTTACCATCAAGAATTGCATGTTAGAAATCACTTAAATTTTATCTCTCCTAATTAGGTAACTAAAACATATAGCAAAACAACCAAATTTCTGCAACAGAATAACAATCATGAGTGTTAAGTTGCTAGATTTAGAAGTCAGTTAGAAAGTGTTGGTGTTTTCAAATGACCCCTTTTCTAATTTTTAGTATCAACATGTTTTATGCAGCCATTAATAATAATAAATTCTGTAATTTTTTGAAACTAAACTGCTAATTAGCTGATGGGATGCCATTTCTGTATTTATAAAGTATTTGACTAAATAATCCTGTGTTCATACGAGTATAGCAAAAATGTCCAAGTCTTTTCTTTACACATTACTACATGTACTACTACATACACATTCAAAATAAAACATAAGCTAAAACAAGGAGTATTAATTTTAGAAAGGATTTGTATATGCACTAAAACAGATAATATTAAGTGTGTCATCAATTTTGAATTAAGGTCCCGGCACGGAACATTTGCAAATGTTATTTAAAGAATTGGTAATTGATGTAATGATAAGTGAATAATAATAAAGGTGGTGTAACGTGGTGAATATTTTATGTTTAGGTAAAAAGGTTAAGTATTAAATGTTAGTCTTATTTCGCAGCCGATCTGCAAAAAGGGCAACATCTTACCCGATAGCCACAGAAGTAGCACCACTGGAAAGATCTCTAAGTACTCGACGTTATCAGTTGCCAAAACCTACGCTTTCAACTATTGGAAATCATAGTTCCGGATAATAGCTCCTATTGAGCTCCAGAGTATACATGTAGTATTAAATAACACTTTTAGATCTTGCCGTTGTTTATATTTTTCTACCTTTAACACAAGAAATTCTACTATGATTGAAAAGTGTTGTTGTCGAATGTTAATTGAACAAAAATATTTTTTGTAATAATTAATTTCTGATACTGTTGCACACAATGAACAAGTAATAGTAGCGTTTGTTTTAAAACAAATTATAACAAATTTTGTTATTAATAATCAAAATTATTGTTACCGCAGGTCTTCATGTGATTTAAGCGGTTAAAAAAGTGTAATAATTAGATACTTATAACTGAAGATAATTAGCTAATTTAAATAAAATATATAGGTAATTAAAGCTGCTTGTTCATTGTTATAAATGTGTTGTGTAAATAATAATATATTGTAAAAAAATAGATATAAATATATTTAAAGAAACGACTATATTTTCTGAAATAAAGTACCTATTCTAATTTAAACCATAATTTGTATTCACAGTGTAGTTATTAATTTCGTTTTTTTTTTTTTTTTTAGAAATTTGCGTAAGCTAAAATAAATGACACACTGATGATTATTGTCTTTTGAACATATACACGACTATAACTTAAATATTATATTTTTTTTACTATTTGGTCAATTAATTCTTTTCCGTATGTGCGGCAATAAAATAAAGGATTATACAAATATACAACATGCCTATGCAAAGATTTCGGTAATAAAATGTTTCTTACTCCAGTTTTCAAGTGAATATTTGAAAGAAAAAAAAAACTATTCCTGGTTTATTTACAATTTATCCAAAAATTCAAATTGAGAGTTTGGGGAATATCTCAGTTATTTCATGGGAAGAAGAAAAAGAGTGGTTTATACATCGGTGCCGTTTAGACTTTTAAAAATAAATGTTTAAAATTATTATAAATTATAAATTTTATAGTTCATTTTTTTTAATATTTTGAAACTTATTCAGGATACTTAATGCAGTTATCATATACATTACTTTCACATACCCTTTTCAGGTTTATACAAAAATGATTTCAGCCCAGTTGCACAATGAAATTAAAGTTATTTTTAAGTTTAAAGCGTTTTTTTTTACAGAGAAATACCTAGCAATAAATTAAGAGCCCTTTAAATGTAAAGTACTTTTAGCTCTGATTATGACTATAGTTATTTTCATGTAAGTCAATCATGCCATCCCTAGAATTTGCGAGATGGTCAGTTAAAAATAAGTACAGTTGATGACAGCTTTATCAGTTCAATCCCAACATGTAAGACAATGTAACTTTGAACTTCAAATAATCCCTAATATGAAATCTGCTAGTATCAAATTTGAAAAATGTATTTAAGATGTTTATTTCTAAACATATAATATTAATGACGTTTTTCTGGGTTTGGACCATGTCCATCTTCAGGAAATAACGGACAAGAATAAAAAGTGCGGGAGAGAAGAGGACAATACTGATGGTGAATCTTTTTTGGCATCGTTCTTCTTGTTTTTTATTTGCTGAAGATGCATCTAATGAAAATGAGCGAATATTGAAACCCTTTTCAAAATTGACGTGGTTCAAACCCCGAAAACTCTAGTTGCGAAAACTTTCGGTTCTATAACGTTATAATTATGTGGTCATATTTTTTTTTATTTTTTAAAATTGAATTTGAAATTTTAATTGATTACAATTTAATAACATTTTAGTTAAGGCATTATTGAAAAAACAAGTGTTCGTTACATTGTTTTGGCTGTTTTTTCAGTCGAATTAATAATTGCACGTTTTTTTATTAACTAACATGTACTTCTGTTTATTTTGCTCACATAATATATTTTTAACTATTTAATTATTCAGTATTTTATGTCCGGTTGTTTCGACAATATTATAAATATTTGGTTTTATCATTAACTTAGCTTAAATAACACACTATAAGAAAAGACAAAGTTCACTATATTTGGTTGTTTCAAAGCTAAGTTAAAGCAGTTATATTTATAAACACCTAAAAAGGGAGCCGCTTTTTTCCAAACACTTCTATTACATATACGTATTCATTTTAAAGTAATTTTATTGCCGAATAGACTTCGTTATACCAATGTGCAAAAGCATTGATTTTGGTTGTTTGGTTGGTTGATTAGTTTGTTTTAACAATAATTAAATTAAATATTGCTGGTTCCAGCAGTATGATTTTCATAGCATTAAGATGTTTACATTTTTAAATAGTAGTAATAAGTTTATGCATTGTGTATAAAACGTGTCACGAAAATTTAAGCACGAGAACTTTCAAGTTGATAGTAATAGAGTTATAAATTATACTTTGAAATATATTGGCCTGTAAAAATTTAAGTCTTTGTACTAGGAGTAATAAATTTTAAACTCGAGTTAAGAAAATTGCAACCGAATTTTAGTAAAATAAATTTGACAAACCGTGTGTATTCACAAATTGGCAAAACTCATCTAAAAGGTGTTAGTATTTCTTACGGGCTTTATATGTGCTGTCAACTACACAAAATAGCGAATATTTTTTTTTGTTGCTCTCTTGGGTATCGATCAGCAAAATCTTTAATTACGCTGATTGCCGTTGGCCTCTAATTTATAAACGTGTTTTCTTTAAATAAACGGTTTTGCTTAATTATTTCAAATTTAAATGGAAAACTTATATTTTTAACTGCAATGTCCACAACAACGTTTGCAGTTCTGCTTCAATTAAGGACTGACAGTGATCACCAAGGCACGGAATAAAATCTCACAGCTCGATCCAGTGCTGCTGCGTCGATACTTTGATTACAAATGTATTTTCTTTTTGGACTATATCAACGTAATATGGGACAAAATACGATAAAGGGCAAAATCACTGAAAAGAAAAAAATAAAAACTAACATGTTTTAGGTGTAATTTTTTGTTAATAGATTAACACTACAGGATGTTAAAAAGCAATTTATAATAATGTCCGCGAAAATATTTTAATAGGCAGCAAATGAAGGACTAGATTTTTTTTCTAAGCGAGGAACAGTTTTAATTATAAAATAATAATAAATTTTAATACGTTAATAACATTTATTTGGCCTTTGTTGAAAGGAAAGTGGTTACAAATACAATTAAATGAGCATTCAAAATAACTTAATTCTCTACAAATATGTTTTTTGGCTTCAATACTACACGTAATTTGGTGAATCGACGAAATGCCTGGAATGTTGAAAATATCTCTGTAACGCTTAGTTCTTAATTTTTCCTGCTGTTTTACTCGCATCTTTTCATTTTTGTTCATGTCATTTATTTTCTTTCGATTTTTTGGATTGTACTCCGTGTCTTTCATTCTTTTTAAATTTCCATCTTTTTCCGACATTCTTACACGTTTTTTTTTTCTTTTCACGTTTATATTCTCGTTTTCAGCTGCAGTTTTCTTCGTTTTCTTAAACATAAAATAATATGGCCGTTAGCCACTATAGATAAGAATTTATCGGTAAAATTAAAAATAAGGGGACCGGCGTTACAGGGGACCGTCGTTACAAAATACGTTTAATATATATATTTTGTAATTCGCAATAATCTGAAATTTAGCACATAACCATTTAATCAAATTGTTTTCAATGCTTTATTGGACAAACATAATACTTACGCTATAAAATTGAAAATACCGTTTATATCAGCGGGGACCGTCGTTACTTTAGAAAACATATTTTTTCAAATTACGAATAAATGATGTAAATTAAACGTGAAAACTACAACAACAGACAACTTAACTGTTTGGCCATTTTTTTACTCACTTTGTCAACTTGTCAGAAGCAGTCACAGCTTCTTCAGTTAAAAGCAATGATAACAATATCCATAAATGCTTACCAAATCTTAAATGATGCATTTGTAGGTACACATTTATTTATTTTTTTTTGTACAACAATAAAGCAATTAAAAGACTTTTAATTATGTTTAAATAAATGTTCACGGTATTGAGTTTACAAAAATAAATTATACGTAAATAACATGAATGCAGCAGTTGCCCACAATACGAAGCTTTTTGTAAATATCGCCTGGGGACAGGGGACCGGCGTTACATTTTTTAAAAGTTTTATGGAAAACTGCAACTGTGTACCATTTAATATTAGTGAACTGTGTAATATCTAATAATTATAAAGTCATTGTTTGTGATAAATTCAATATTTAAGAAAAAATTAAAAGAAAACACAGATAAATGTGGTAGGAACACGTTTTTGCCCATTATCGTATTTTGTCCCATATAACATTTCAAGATCACAAATGTGAGGTCCTATATTATTATTGAGTATTATTAGTCGACGTAACATAGTAATATAGAAGTAGTTTTTTTAGCAGCCGTAAACACTCCTAATGCGAGGCACTAGCTACGGCCTTGCGGACCAGATCAAAGCGTCCCCACTAGTCGCCGTAAAACACACCTTACTTCAAATGGGGGACTGCAGCATTGAGATTTAATTCCACACACTGGTGATCACTGTATTTCTCAAACTCAAATTGATCCTAGCAATGAGATGGCATTCTTGATAACACAGATAATCTGGTGCATTTTAAATCAATTGTAAGTATCAAAACAATGATGAAAGTTATGAATGCTGAATAAGATTTCGCTTGAAAACAATTCATACTTTATTTTTTGCTTTGGTTTATACTTTATTTGCCCGACTCAAGTAATCCAGTATAGCATTCGAGATTCTAATTCTACGGCGTGGAACTCGAATTTAAATACTCTGGTTTAGCATTTGCATCACTAAAAACTCCATACTCATACTGATATCTTTTTGGGAATTTGTATTCCCTACCATAGAAGATAGTAGTTTCTACATCACAATAATGATGGATATAAAAAATTGAACTTCAAAAAAGACAGTAACAACATTTTTGTCAGTATTTTTAAATTTAGGTAGCTGTATATTAGTAATTTTGTTGTAATTAGTACGATCCTTGGGTGGTACTTCTGCTTTACCAACCGCTAAAAGGCGAACGCTTTAAAATCATATACTTGAAGGTTAACTTGTTTTAATCTGCTGTCAATATTGTAGATCACAGTATCGAAGCTACTGCATACTTCATCTGTATACGCTTTATGTTTATATGCATACAGAATCGACAAACATTAAACCGACTGCAACGCCACCTATGTCCTACTTTGTTAATATTATTTATTAGTGTAATCTAATTCTTGGCCTACAAATCAAAAGTAGAAGCTTTAGTTTTAAAGTAAAGAGGTCAATCACATTTTTATAAACCAATGCTCGTTTATGATGAGATATTACCTACAGTTGTTTGGTAACATTTTGGAACGTGTTATCGTGTTTTTCTGGAAAAGTTAGAACTTTTATTTTTGTTTTTTGATTTTGTCGTGATCTTTGCACAATACGTGCGATATAGAGAAATCTGTTGGACAGCCTCATTTTTCTGAGATATGGTCACGGTGTATAATAAGTTAGGTGTTACGACGAAGCGTATTCACCGTGCATCGACTTGACGCCGGTTTAGTCACGATGAGCGCTCGAGAGAGACAGACAGCGGCGGCCTGTAACCTCTCACTTAGATCTGTTTAGCAGCGTTTGGCGGGCTTTTTCCCTCTCTCGGTGTGACAGATTTTGCTAGGTTTTCTCTGCGATTTCTTACTTGTTTTTTGATTTATCAATAAAAATGGGTAGAAAATGTGTTGTGCCTAATTGTTCTAGCGGATACAATGGTAATCCCGAAAAAGTGTCGGTGTTTCGGGTACCTAAAGACAGATTACTGGAATGGCACTTTTATTGCAGTAGTGAACTGCTGCTTTTGAACAACACTTTGCACTAAAAAATACTGGTCGTCGCTATAGTAATAGTCGGCATTTTATGTTGAATTTTATTTTTACTTAAAACAATTACTCCCTTTTTATCGGTTATGTGTTATGTTTTAACATTCAAGAAACAGAATTTATGTTTATTTTCAGAGGGTTTTTGAATGCGATATGTATTTTTTCTTTATTCCACATAAACTATATTTTTTGCAGAGATTTTTCGGCACAATTCGACAAGCAGGTTGTGCCAATGGACATCCTTATCTATAACTCTTTGCAGCTATACCGAATGTTATCGGTTTATAAATTATTAAAACCTCCGAAATTTGGTAATTGCACACAGATGCAGGACAATAGTAATGCAAATCATTCGTTATCATTTAATGACTCCAAAAATATTTTTGAAACAAATACCAGAATGCGGGAAAAATCATGTTGAGAAAATAAAAAGGAAAATTGAATATATTTTAGATACAGATTCACCGATTAACGAAATAGACGAACAACTATTTGAAGATGTCACTACAACTAAAATTGTTGACAACATCATTTATTACTTAGCTGGATTTGTCGCAAAAAAAATTGTACAATACTTCAAAATGTAATATTTGCCGTGAACAGTTATATAACAAAGAAGATCCATGTTCTAGTACATCTGAATTTACTAGTACAAAACCCAGGGGGTGGTTAAACCATCCAGATTTGTTAATGTTTAATATGTTCCGATGGGTGGAAGGGATACTTATGAAATATATCGATTTTGTGGATGTATTCGATGCAACAATTGAAGAGCTATTCGCAACAAAAATTTTATGACTATTTACTTTATTTTTTCTTGTGAAGAGCATAGAATGGAAATACTTTCAAAGGCAATATATTTTTACACAATTATGCGAATTAAACAATTTTATAAACAGGAACAAGAGAAAACAACCAAGGCATGTGCAGAAAAAAGAAAAGAGTCTCGATTACAGACTACGTAATAATGGTAAATTTTTATTTCTCAAACAGTAAAGCAGATAATGGTTAATGGATATTTTTTGGTTGTCTTGTGAAACGAACAGAAGTGAGTGAATCTAATATAATCTGTGAAGGCGAAAAGAACTATCTTTAACAACGAGTTCACATTCATCTTTTTAAATAAATTATTATTTTAAAAATGTTTAAAGTTTTTATTTTAATACAATGGATAATTAATTTTGATGATTTTTGGACCTAAATGGCTTTAATTCCGACAAATACTTCTCCCGTCTCTTTCCCGTCAGTGCGATTAAATGACGGCCGCCCTCTTCTGTTTCTCTCGCTCCAAATGTGTGACTAGTTGGGGACACGTTTCACGCGCTCGTCGGAACACCTAACTTATTATACACCGTGGATATGGTTAAATATTCAGTATATGGAACAATGATTGTAATTGTTTTAGATGTGTATTTACTGCGTAAATCAGGGGGTATACTAGACAATGATCTCTGTTCCAGTCTTTTTTTTCGATGTTTTTTATTACAATTGTGTTTCTATAGAATTATTTATTCACTAATTTTGGTAATCAAGTGGACTAGCTATAGCGAAATTGTTGCGTTCACGCTTTCAGGGGGAACTCCTAATTTGTACTAAAAATTTAATTAATTATTCTATATGAAAAGCATCTTACACCCATTTCAGCAAACAGGTAACATACTGGACATGAAAATGGATTGTGTAACTAACTTAAAATCGAAATACTTTTTTTTCCCCTGTTAATATTTCAGTATTATTTAATTATACAAAAACACAAATCGACACTGCTTAATCATATAATTGATAATTAATTTGTAATCTTCATTAGTTCTGTTAGTTTATATATGTATATTATTCCAGTAAAAATGTAAAATGTATTAAATGTCCACTTTACTATTCACTGAATGTGTGTACGAATTACATTTATAGTTATAGTGGGTGAATGCATTTAGTTAATTAACACATTTATTTAAGATACATTAGAGATACAATACAAGCGAAGAAACAAATCGTATACTGATGTAACATTTTAATTACTTCATAATTAAAGAATTGTATGTTTCTCTTCCATGCTGAAACAGCATAACACAAAGTAACACATTCCACACGGCTGAAAATATGTCTTAAAAATGCACAAAAGACAATTCTATGCGGGTTTTGTTCATTACTTTTCCTAACTCCATCGAGGAACGCTTTTCTTAAGAATTGATTCTAATCAAATTAATAAAACAACTTTATATTTTTTTATTTAAACTTTTATGAATAATTGTTTGCCTTTTTAATTTTCCGCTTGTCGTAGCTTCACTAAAGATTTTTAGTTCAGATATGATGAGATGCACTTCATAACAGTAAATTTTGGTTTTACATGTTGGAATCTTACATCACCTAGAAATGATTAATATAACGTCCTTGGCCAAGAACTTATAAATCTCCACATATGGTATTTCATATCACGTAAGTTTACAAGGCGTTATTTTAAAAACTCTATTTTTTTAAACGTTGTGAAATTTTAAATTTTGACACCGCCTTGTATATCACTGTAGGGTGTGCAATTTGTTCTACTAGTTACTGATGTAATGGTAGTAAATTTTAGGGGTTCGCAGAAAAATGTATTGCTGATGTATTGTAAACACACTGATTGTTATTATCTTTTTCCATTATCATTAATATATATCGTTATCAAAGTGACTGTCCTGTACGTGGAAGTGTTCTGTATGAAGTTGATTCATTAAGTTAACTTCATTACAGTTGTTTCGTCGAATTTGTGGTGGGTTGTTGTCATATTTGTTAATCTATAGTAATCGTTCCTAGTCCACAGCTTTAGTATTATGATTTAGAATACCACTATTAATTGTAACCGGCATTTATTGTTTTCAAATAAAAAATAACGTGTTGTTCTGCCTTCATCGCAAAAAATTTTCTTTATATATTATTTCCACGAGTTTAATATTGGCAACCTCATAAAGTCGTAAGGTGAATAAAATCTGGACATGTGAAAATTGGTCTAAAAGTCTTAGGTGCATTCAGTAGAAAAGATGCGTTAGGTACATAAATGTAAAATCATAACTGCCAATTTCCATAAAAAACGAAATTAAAGAAAAAAGTGAAAAGTTAATATTAAATTACGTTATCTGAAATTTGCTGTAACTTGTTACTAGAATTGTTAATAAATCCTTCTAAAGAATGAGTGGGAATAAAAAATTTTCCGACACACACATGCATAAGAAATAAATGAGGCTATTTTCTTTTTAAGGAGTTTGTTCATTTCATTCTCTATGTCGTTATATGTTTTAATTGTTACGTCCTTTGTTATAGAAACTTACAATTTTGTTTTAAATCGAAAAACTGAAGAGACTTTACGTTATTTCGTAGTTATTGCTGCAAAGAAAACAATTTGATTACAAATACGAAAACTTGTAAGTTTCTACGTATTAACTACTTTGTGTATTATTTTTATTGTAGGTTGTGATAGATAAAAAGGCTAAATATATGTATATTTAATTAATTTTGTGTATTTTATATCAAAACAAACCCACGATATCCAGCATGTGTTTTTTTTTGCTTTTTGGAAAATTGAAAATGGCGTTCGCATAAAGAAAAGCCTGGAACGGGTTGCCGGAAGTTTCGATGGCAGACTCCAGAAAAACCTCGAAGCGGCGTTTGCGAACCGTCCAAAAAAACACAAGATTGTTTAAACAGGGACCACTGTCGGAAGCAAGTCGAGTCGAGTGCAGTCAATGTTGAGGTCTAGTTAAATCCATTCCTGTCGACTCGGAATTATTCTGTACATATTCGCTGTATAGTTAGTCGCGTAAATTAGCATTACGGAGAAATAAATTGTTGAGTTTTACCCATGCCGATTTTAATACCTGAAAATCGTGACAGTATTTTAGCTAAATAAAGTTGCCTCCGAGTGCATCTTGCATCATCAAGAATGTATATGGGAGATTAGACTTATTATGGTTAAAAGTGCTCTTAAAGAAATTCGAAAAAGAATAATCAATTTCCACTGATCAAATAAATTCCTCTATTGGGTTAAGAAAATGGCTGTATGGAGGTACACAAACAGGAAAATATCCATGGATTCGTATCAATTGTTGAATTTCTTCAGTTTTCTGAAATCTTACATTGTCCGTTACAATATGTGCGCCCCTAATATTATTTTCTTGTAAGTGATTCAATAGGGTTGTTAATAAAAATTCGCCAAAGTCTACAGCATTATACGACCTGTCTTGAACCGTAAATAAGTATACGAAATTGTTTTAGTAAAAAGGAAACTGTTTTGACACAAGGTGAAACAATTTGACAAACAGCACACTATTTAATAAAAGTAGGAAACAGATTTGACAAATAAAATACAATTGATAAAAGACGAAATCAAAAGAACAATACTGTAGAATCCGCATTCGTTTAAAATGATATGGTGTGCCATTTTAAACCGATATGATGTATATATGCCATTTTATCCAGAAGGCCACAATACATGCATGAAATTTATATTTTAGAAGACACTCAGAATTATTTAAAAAATACATAATAGCTACAACTTAAAAGTCATTTACTTGTTCAAAACAAATATATATGTGGTTGGGAAATACCTAAACACTTTGAACGAACAAAGAATATCCTGTATATAAAGTCTTTCAACTTTTATTACAGTCCAACACACTAAAAGACGTTAAAATGCGCATTGATTAAGTCTTAATTAATGAAATGTGTAAGCTAAACCGCTCAAAGTGGCGCTACTTTGACGGGAAATACAAATATTTTGGATGTATTGTTTTATCCTGGTATGTCATTTTAAACAAAATTTTCACAGGCCGCTGAAATCAACTTCAAATCTGAATTTAGATACGTGTTTTCTTGATTTAAACAGAGATCACTTTGCTTGGATGAGGTAAGTAATAAAACTTTTATACTTATAATTAATCTATCTTAAAGAAAATATACTTGAAGGTTATACTTAAATAAAGAGTGTTCGAAAAACAGAACCTGAAGTTAACGTCAACACGATTAATAATCACGTTGAATACATTGTTGTAAAAGTGCTCAATTTATTTGCTAATTATAAATACATAAGTTGTTGTTTAGCAAATTTTGTTTTGGAATTTATTCAGTAGTAATAAGTATCCCGCGTACATATCAAATGGTCGACAGTTTTAATTTTCTCGAGTGCACGAATGCCCGAGAAAATTAGGAGACAATTTGATTTGCACGAGCGGATATTTTACAAGCTATTTTCTGAAAAAAAAAAAAATGCATTTATCAAATATTATCATTCTATTCCAATGAAATCAAAAGATTAACATACTTTATGCATAAATTAAGAAAAGTCAGATATTTTCTGGATCTGGATCCATGCAAATTTTTGCATAACACACAACGTAAACTGTGAACTATTAATACATGTCGAACGTTAACGTTAACTAAAAAATCAAAAAGATCTAAACTGAAGCAATTAAAACATTTTTGTATGTCAAACAGGGTATGTTTTTGAAACAAATACAATTGTATCGGTATTCGTTGTAATATTAAAAGATTTTGCCTTCAGTATGAGACGATATGATAGTACAGAATATAAAGAAAGCGTAATCAAGATTCGATGGAGTACTGTCGCACATAGTCTGCAATGTAATAGAAAAAATGCGGGGGTTGTTATCTTCTTGTCTACAAGAGAATTAGAAGGCACAAGTTTCCTTAATCGTTTATACATGTAATAATTGTACAGTGGTGCACAGTAAATTTCGTCCGTCCAATTTCTTTGACTTTAACCCTTACATCTTCCTAACTTTTTTTTTGTCATTTTGATATAAATGGGCAAACTAATTTGCATTTAGCTCTCCTAGCACTTCTGAGAAGTTCTGTACAGTAAAACAGGTACCTATGACACTGGCTAAATTTAGTAGCTAAATTTTCTATGAAAATTCTCTGCAAATTTTCGCTTTAATTAACTCTTTCTAACAAACATGCATTCGAACGAAGCTAATTATTATCTGCATAATTAAAAGCCTCGTATTATACCTGCTTCTCAGATTATAGAAATCAATCCAAGACCAAACAGAAAACAATCTCAAATTATAAAATAAACTCCAGAAACTTTATTATACATAAATGCAGCAAAGACAGGTGTTTAGAATACAACAGTCAAAATATTTAATTTTTCTGGCACGTGTAACATGACCCTGCAGAAATCCATGCCACATGTTGACAGATGTTTCGGTTTGTTAACATTACGGTGTTGACATGTTTGAACATATCTGTCATTGTCATTACATCATATGTTTCGAGGCCTATATACTTTTAACTTGCGATTTTGACAAGATTAAAAGACTTTCTCGTCTGAGAAAATAACTACAAAACCCTTCAGCCTAATTAGATGTTGTAAAATAAACCCAATACGGGCGTCCAGTCCATATGTCTAGAAGTAAGCTTTACTTTTTTTTTGCTGATCAGTGATTTTCAAGTCCTCGTTCCCTAATGCGTCGTCGGACAATTATTACTGATGATCTGGGAAAAGTAGCTTCAACTGTGGTTGTAAATGACATGTCTTCCACAACTTAAACAAGCGCATGATTTTCACCAACTCTGGTGATGCGTCCCCCATTTTTTTTTTTAGATAACTTGTCCACGATATGCCCAAAAGTGTATCGACACGCCTCTGTGACATCCCCTCTTGGAAAAAATCGGAGTTGAATTTGACAATACGTCACTCATCATAACAAAAGCAAATTGTGATGACAATAAAGCATCGACTACAGTGAATTTTTGTGACTTCCCGTGAATTGCGTGGACGAAATTCACTGTCCCCAACTGTATTTTACAAAAATGACACCTACCTTTTGTAAATAAAAATTTGAAATTAGTCAACTAAGTGTCAAATGTGATCATTTTGCAGTTTGCACTAGTGCAAATTTTTCGCTGAAATTCAATTCTTATTGATCATTATGTATAGAAATGTAAATGGTTTCACTGGATCAATTTTTTGAAGGAAATAGTCGATAAAATTAAACTTAGTTAAATTGTGGCAAAATGGTATCTAGTTAATGCAAATATATCGCATAATTTGCATTAACCAGATACAAGTAGTAACCTTATAATTACACATTTAATATTATCATTTAATTACAGTATTTCCTTTAGTAATTATTCATTTATGTAAGATACAAGTATCAAAATTTCTGCCGGTTTTTAAAAACTTACGAATGTTTTGAAAAAATACATAGATACATCAATCTGATGTAATTTCGGAGGCTTCCATAGTCGGAATCAATAGATGATCGTTTTCCGGGTTGGAACCCTGTTAACCGTTTCTTCAATTTTGCGGTTTGCAATTTTCACTGTTTCATTTTTTTTGTTTCTTTAATTGTACGATATAGAACTCCTCAAGATTTCATTTTTACATTTTTTAGTTTTCAAGTTTTCGATGTTTCAAACTACAGATTTTTTAATTTTTCGTTTTTCCTATGTTAGATTTTTTATTTCTCGATTTTAATTTTTTTGTTTCTTCAATTTATGATTTGCAACCCTGCATTTTTCTAGTTTTCATTTAAAATATGTAATAATAATAATTATAATTTTTAAACTTTTTCACTTTTTCAATTTTACGGTTTTAGAACTTTTCCATTTTTCAATTATTGTATTTAAAACTTTTTCATTTATTCGAATTTTCAATTTTTATATATTTAACTTTTCAATTCTTCGATCCTCCAATGTTAAGCTTTTCGACTTTACATTTTGACAATTCTATAATTTTTCGAATATACACTTTTTGGATTTCCCAATTTTTTGACTCTGTGCGTTTTTTCTTGTTTCCAATTTGTCGATTCATTAATTTTTTTCGATTTTTAAATTTCTCAATTTTTGGTTTTTCAGTCATTCAATCATTCGTTTCTTCAGTGCTTCGATTTGCAATTTTTCGGTTTTTCGATTGTTCAGTTTTTCGAATCGAAAAGAAACGCGTATCAAAATACCGCTTGCTGCGCGTTTGTAAAAACAATGTCTACAGATACTTGATATCGAATTATACACTGTCACTCAAACAAAAACACTTCAAACATCAAATAAAGTGATAAAGGTCCTTCAGGTAGCATAACTCCACAAGTACGACTGATATTTTTTGTTGTGCAGTTTTTCGAAGTCACTGAGATCTGAATCTAACGAGACAAACAAAATCATAAAAATTCTTCCATTCTTTTCTGTGAACGGATGAACCGGCGTAAATAACACTCCCCAACTCCTGCGCCACGGGGGCGAATTTGAATTGTCTTACCATTATTAAATATCGGCGGGCGCATTCTCGATTTTCGGGAAAATAAAGCTTCTGATTAATAAACAATCTTGTGATGACGTGATTAACATTGATAAATAATACTACTCATCGAAAGTGGGACCACCGGTCAGCGTTCTCCTAAAACCACCCTGCGCCACAAATCCTTATATCTCTCGTGTTGGTACTGGAATGGTATTATAAGTATAGGATTATATTGTTGTATTATATTTAAATCA